TTCTATATTTTGCTGCATCATTGTGGCATTATAACTTTACATACTTTGGTATATTCTTTTGTAATAGCTTGTAATGATATACAGTTTGGACATCTGTTTGTTATACTGTATGCTATTTGTTTTTTTTAAAACTGAGTTTTATTGAACGTATACAACAAATACAGTGCGGCATGTGTCACAGGCTACAGACTAAAGGTTTGCATACCAACAAAGTGTCTATTACCTCTCTCAGGAGGATTATAATTACAAACAATATGAACTTAAAAATCTCCCGCAATGCTTGAGAAGCAACACTGTATATAACAACACATATTATATACAAGATAATGAGCCTAAAAAGAAAAGAAAGAGGGAAAGAAAACAGAAACCCAACCTACAACTACAACCGTTGGTCCAAAAGGCATATCTCCCAGGTTCAAATAAAAGTAGGATAACAGAAAAGTACAGAAGTAACCTTCCAGTATGGAAGAAATACCAGCCACTACCCGTTAAGTAGCATAAACATAAGAAAAGCAAGTCCTCTGCATACAGAACCACACCATTGTCCAAGCAGTTCTTAGGAAAAGGAGAATTAATCATGTATCTGACTCCACACAGGTATCGAATAACTCTATCCATGGATATTTGGTCAAATTTTTGAGGACATCCCCTGGATAATCCCCACCTCTATGAACTGGTGCAGACGGTTCTCAAACGTTGGAGGGCTGCCTCATTACGTTGTGGAGCACTACATCCATTTTTGTGATTGAACTTATGAAAGGGATCGACGGTCTAGTTGGAAACACTTGTCTTTGAAGACCCATATTATATTCCCCTGTCTATGGGGTGCAATGAGGACGAGGTGTGAATAGGCCTGGATGTTTACAGACTTAATGTGACTTGGGTGTGCCCTTGTGATCCGTTTCTCGGGGGGGGGGGGGGTTTACACAACCCGGTTCAACTGGCCCCCCAGCCATATGAGGCGGTGAAATTTTGAAGCGTTATATCTTTTAAATTGGGTTGAAAACTCAACTATCTCTTTCTTGCGCTTTCATGTACTATGGTGTCACCCATATGCAGAGCTTTTCTTTTTCCCTGAAGAAGGAGTGAAGTCACTCCGAAACGCGTTGGCCCCTATAGATACACAGAAAATAACTGGATACTAACATTTATAGGTAATGTTGATCCAGGAAATATCCGATTGCCTCTCGGGGAATCAGGAAGGAATTTTTTTTCCCCAGCAGGAGCAAATTGGATCATGCTTTGCTGGGTTTTTTTTTTGCCTTCCTCTGGATCAACTGTGGGTATAGGATTATAACTTTTTTTTTTTTATGGTTGAACTGGATGGACTTTTTTTTGTCTTTTTTCAGCCAGACAAACTATGTAACTATATGTAAGAAACTATCTTTGTATAAATAGGTGTTGGTGGTGTCACAATATTTGTAAATGGCTTATCAAGCATAAACACGCTAGGTATCTTTATCATGAAATCAGTACTCTGATGGTGATGCTGTACTATGATTTTGGATGATCTGTTCTACGGTATGTCCACATGTGAAAATTTGACGTAATAAAGAGTTTGCACTTTTTACAATTTTTTGTTATACTTTATGTCCTTAAAGTCCCAAGTTTTAGAGGGGTCTCTTTTCCTTTATTTATCCCCTGGCTTCATAGGTCAACTTGTAAAGCGACAATATCTTTCTTGGCATAAAATAATCGATAACAAAGAAATTCTTTCTGAAAGGAGTTGAGGTCTATATCTTCACGCCGTTTGTTTTTGACTGACTTTTCACTCGTTTTTTATTTGTCAAGAAAACAATAAAAGCACCTTTAAAAAAAAATATATACTGCTAAAAAAAAAGATAAAACTTTGAAAAAGAAGAGGCAAATATTGGCACTACTGAAACAAGTAGAAGGTAAGCTACTATTACACTTTAACCACTTCCTGTCCGGACACTTTTACCCTCTTCCTGAGGGTAAAAGTTTTCAGCTTTCAGCGCTATCACCCTTTGAATGACAATTGCGTGGTCATGCAACACTGTACCCATATGAATTTTTTACCATTTTTTTGAGACAGAGAAAGCTTTATTTTGGTGGTATTTATTCACCACTGGGATTTTTATTTTTTTGCTATGTAAATGAAAAAGTCCAAAAATTTATAAAAAAAAAACTGTTTTTCTTTATAACATTTTGCAAATAAATAATATTTCAACATAAATCTTGGCCAAAATGTATTCCGTTATCTTTTTACTGTACTACTTGTGGGGGGTGATGAAGATTTTTTTTTTTTTTTTTTTTTTTTTACACTGATTGCTTTTACACCCATAAAGGATGTAAAAGCAATCATTTCTCCTTCTCTCTGTCTGCATTCTTGCAGCATTGAGAACTACTGAGTGAGCTGTGATTGGTCATAGCTTGTCACATGGTACAAGGCTGTTGTGAATAGCCTTGTACCATGTGACCTCTGTGATTATTCACAGATTTCACATGTAGTAAGCAATGATGTCACAAGTGACATCTTGCTTACTACTTTGCATGTGATCACTGATTGGCCAATCAGTGATCACATGATCGGGACCTCGTACAGAGGTCCCGTCTGACGATCGGTGTTTCACTGTGTCCGGAGGACACAGCGGGCACCGGATCGCGGTGCTGCTTGCTCCCAAGGAGCGTGCACAAGCAGGCTGCGGGGAGGCCGTTTATAAACGGCCACCCGACCCTGCAGTGCCACCGTCCGGCCGTTTATATACAATGGCCGGACGGGAGGTGGTTAAAGGTTAAGTTCACCTTTTTGGAGCATGTTACTCTAGACGTGTTTGGTTAGTTTCATTCCGAATCAAAATTCTGACATCTTTCCTATTCGGAGATTCAGGTGTATCCAAATTTCTGATTGACGATGGTAATGAATTTAAATGAATCCGAATCCAAAACAAAATTTCATCTGAAATTCGAATCAAATTTGAAAACAAATTTGAAATATAAACATATTGCCAACTATTGCTGATTTCTCTCAGACTATGTGGTTTATTTACTAAAGCTGGAGAGTGCAAAATCAGGCACTTCTGCATAGAATCAGCTTCCAGCTTTTATTGTCAAAGCTTAATTGAACAAGCTGAGGTTAGAAGTTGATTGGTTTCTATGCAGAAGTGAGTCTGATTTTGCACTCTCCAAGTTTCGCAAATAAAACCCTATGTGTATTAGTCTTAGAATAGTCTTCTGAAATTCAAATTTCAAAAAGAAAGGAATAATATAGAATATAAAAGGTTACAATAGAAAATAAAAGAATAGAATTGAAAATAATAAAAATAAAGTAGAATAGAAAAAATATAGCCATCTTCTGAAATATGAATTTCAAAAAGAATAGAATAAAATAAAACAGAAAAAAAAAAAAAGAATAAAATAGAACAGAATAGAGAAGAAAAGAATAGAAAAAAAAAGAATAGAACAGAATAGAATATAAAAGAATATCGTAAAACAGAACATAATAGAATAGAAAATGTTAAAAAGAATAAAATATAATTGAAAAAATAGAACAGAATAGAAAAGAATTGAACAGAATAAAAAGAATAGAATAGAAAAAAATAGAGTAGAATAGAAAAGAATAGATATAGCTGTCTTTCAATATTCGTTTTTTGAAAAGCATAGAATAGAATAAAAAAAAAAAATAATAGCATAGAAAAAATAGAATATAATGGATAATAGCCATCTTCCAAAATTCAAATATAGAATAGAATAAAACAGAATAGAATAGAGTAAAATAGAACAGAATATAAAAGAATAGAATATAATAGAAGAGAAAATAAAGGAATATAATAAAATAATAATAGAATAGAAGATTATAGAAAAGAATCGAACAGAAAATAATAGAATGGAAGAGAAAATAAACAAATAGAAAATAATAGAATAAAATAGAATATAACTGCCTTCGGAAATTCAAATTTCAAATAGAATAGAACCAGCTATTCTTCACAATGAATTTGGATCGATTTGATATTTTTGATTGGAATACTTTGAATCCATTGGAAAAATGTAAATACGGTTGAAAACGAATAAATTAAATGAAACTAAACGAATTTTGTTATGAAAGCTACAAAACAAAATTAGTAACTTAACCCCTTGGGGCCGACGTAACACAAATTTGCAGCCTCACAGAACTGGGCTTTTTTCCATGAGGCCGCATATTTGCGTACCTGTCTTTGTGCTGGGAGTCCGCCGCACGGCGCACTGTCAGTGAGCCAATGAGAAGAAAGCAGGGGGGTGGGACTGAGACACGCTCTGTGTGTGAATGGACAAAGTCCATTCACAGGAGTGTAGCTCAGGAGCGAGCCTGCTCGAGTGCCCGCATACCAAGAGGTGGAACGCAAAAAGTAGATTAGGGCTGCTCTGTGCAAAACCATTGCACAGAGCAGGTAAGTATAACATGTTTGTTATTTTTTAAAAAATAAAAAAAAAGTCAACCTTTTAGTCCTCGTGCACACTGTACGTATTTACAGCGGCTGTTTTTGGCTTTTGGCGTTTTTTTTTCTACAGCCATTAATCTCCCCAGCATGTTATCCTATGTGCCAATGCCCACATAGCCTTTAACCACTTGCCTACCGGGCACTTATACCCCCTTCTTTGCCAGGCCAATTTTCAGCTTTCAGCACTGTCGCACTTTGATTGACAATTGCGCGGTCATGCAAGATTGTACCCATATGAAATTTTTATCATTTTTGTCTCACAAATATAGCTTTCTTTTGATGGTATTTGATTGCTGCTGGGTACTTTACTTTTTATGCTATAAGCAAAAAAAAAGTGCAAAGAATTTTGAAAAAAAAGAAAGTTTTTTTGTTTCTATTATAAAATTTTTCAAACAGGTAATTTTTCTCCTTCACTGATGTGCGTTGATGAGGCAGCACTGATGGGCACTGATAGGCGTCATTGATGGGAACTGATAGGCAGCACTGAAGGGCACGGATAGGCGGCACGGATAGGCGGCACTAATGAGGTGGCACGGATAGGCGGCACTAATAGGCAGCACTAATGAGGTGTCACGGATAGGTGGCACTGATATGCGGCACTGATTGGTGGCACTGATAGGCGACACTGATAATGGGTACTGATAGACAGCACTGATAGGTAGCACTGACTGACATCACTGCTGGGCACTGACTGGCGACACTGCTAGGCACTGACTGGCACAACCGCTGGGCACTGACTGGTGGCACTGACTGGCAGCACTGCTGGGCTGCACTGATGGGCACTGGTGGGTGGCACTGATGGGCACAGGTGGGTGGGCACAGGTGGGTGGCACTACTGATCACAGGTAGGTGGCACTTCTGGGCACAGGTGGTGACACTGCTGGGTGGCACAGGTGGTGACACTGCTGGGTGGCACAGGTGGTGACACTGCTGGGTGGCACAGGTGGGCGCACTGCTGGGCACAGGTGGGCGCACTGCTGGGCACAGGTCGGTGCATTGCTGGGCACAGGTGGGGGGAACTTGTGTGTGGCACTGCTGGGCACCAATCATCAGGGCACTGGTGATCAGTGACCCTGATGATCGGTGCCGATCCCCGCTCTGACAACTGCCGTTTTTTGGCATTACTTTCTTCACGATCTGACAGCGTGAGGAAAGTGCAGCCGAGAACCGGCATTTGCATTTTCCCGGTGATCAGCATGTCACTGGACACGGCTGATCACGTGGTAAAAGGCCGCTGTGATTGGCCTTTTACCACGTCACATGATCAGCTGTGTCCGTAGGACACAACGATTACGGAGATTGCCGGGTGCGCGCCCCGGGGGGAGCGCAGGAGAGCGAGTTCTGGGAGGACGTCATATGATATGATATATTGTACATTCACATCAGTCCCTAACCCTCAAGGGGCGTACAATCTAAGGTCCCTAACTTACATTCATACATACACATACTAGGGACAATTTAGACAGGATCCAACTAACCTATCAGCATGTCTATGGAAACTGGAGCACCCGGAGGAAACCCACGCAGGCACAGGGAGAGCATGCAAGCTCCAGACAGGTGGTGCCGAGGTTGGAATTTGAACCAATGACCCTAGCACTGCCAGGCGGAAGTGCTAACCACTGTGCTGCCCCATAGTGCTCTGGTCCGGCTTCCTGACAATGGTGGACCATGCCCATGAAATGTGTATTGGCAGTTCCGCTTGTAGTCTCCAACAGGGTGCATGTGACAGGGTGACAACACAGGAGCACAGCTGGGATACAGTTGTCCTCTCGTAACAGAAAGTGCCTTCAAGTCTGAGGTTTAAACACAATGAACATTTTGGGAGTGACACTAAAAGTTTATGTATTATATAGATTTCCTTTCATTGCTTTTACTGTAGATCTACTTTCAGCGTTGCAAGGCCACAGTGCCAATCGTTACACAAGGCCACACAGTCATAGATCGCTATGTTGGTATCAATCTCTTTTCAAGAAAATATTAGTTGTATGTTAAGTCCTGCCAAGAGTTGAAACCCACACAGAAAGCTGTTCCTATACATGTAACAAATACACAAAACGTCATATACCATCTGAGAGACCATCGTGAGCGCCATATGTCGGGGGTGACCTCAACGATGAATCCATATGTAAAGGGAGAACATTGCTACGCAAACAACTGATGACTCCCCCGTGGTTTTCCTAAGTAAATAACGTTTCTTGAATCACTTTCTTACGTGGGCTCGTGGCTCCCTGCCATTCATACTATTTCTTCCCGATAGCAGAGAATAATCTACCTAAGTGTGTTTACTTGAACTCCTTTCCAATTTCTAAAGTGAGAATTTATGGCACCAGTCTTGGTATTACTTTATTTTTCTTGAATTGGATGTTGGCAAGGGAACCCAACACATTGAAGGACAGTTCCATTACCAATCACAGTACAAAGCTGGGCCCAGGCCTGGTACCTGTACATCTCTTATGGACTAGGGCACATATAACATACAGTAATACATAAAACACTTACATTTTTTTTAGGAAAAAGAGGCTTTCTTTTGGAAAATAAAAGAAATGCCAAAAATTTTTTTTTTATATACAACCTACAGACAAAAAAAAAGATGTCAAGTACATTACTCATTGTTGTGTTACTGTAAATAGAAAATGCACATTTTATTTTATGATTTATATTTATAATCACACAAAAAGTACAAAGTTTGGAAGAGTTATTTTAAATGAATTTAAAGGTATTTTTTTTTTTTATGTGTACACTTTTTTAATCCAAAAAAAATAACTAACAAAATAAATGAAGGTTTAAATAATAATGGTAAAAATAGAAATAAAAAACCATCAGCAGGAAAATAATAATTAAGGAAAGAAAGGGAGGAAAGAGATCATCAGGGCCGATTAGAGTTAACTAAGGGATAATAAGAGGTTAAATAGGAACACATTTTATTTAAAAAAGCATTTTAAATTTTGTTTATTTGTAAGGTTGGTTGAACTGATGTCATATGCAGATCAAGGGTCTATCTTTTGATCTGCAGGTGAACAAAACACAGTTAATATGATGTAACAATTGTAACGTTGCATTTCTTAATAATACTTCCACTCTAGCCTCTCCTGCTTGCTAGAGGTTCCTTGAGCACATAGTTAGTCTGGCTGAAAGAAGACAAAAGTCCATCCAGTTCAACCATTCAAACAAAAAAACAAAAAAAGTTATAATCCTATACCCACAGTTGATCCACAGGAAGGCAAAAAACCCAGCAAAGCATGATCTAATTTGCTTCTGCAGGGGAAAAAATTCCTTCCTGATCCCCCGAGAGGCAATCAAATATTCCCTGGATCAACTTTACCTATAAATGTTAGTATCCAGTTATATTCTGTGTATCCAAGAAACAATCCAGGACTTTTTTTAAAGCAACCCACTGAGCTGATCAGAACCAACCAAGGGCGGACTGACCATTTGGAAACTCGGGCGCTGCCCGGGGGCCCGGGGTCAGTAGGGGGCCCCATGAGATGCCCCTGGTACCTTTTACATAGGCTTTTTTGAGTTTGGCCAAGGACACAGGGGCCCCATGATCCCCTATTGCCCGGGGGCCCCATGAGTTGTCAGTCCGCCCCTGGAACCAACTCTTGAGGGAGTCTATTCCACATTTTCACAGCTCTCACTGTGAAGAAACCTTTCCGTGTTTGTAGATTACATTTCTTTTCCTCCAGACGTAAAGAGTGCCCCCTTGTCCTCTGTGATGACCTCAGAGTGAATAGCTCTACACCGAGTTCACTATATGAACCACTGATGTATTTATACATGGAGATCATATCCCCCTTATGTATTATACATGGAGATCATATCCCCCCTTATGTATTATACATGGAGATCATATCTCCCCTTATGTATTATACATGGTGATCATATCCCCCTTATGTATTATACATGGAGATCATATCCCCCCTTATGTATTATACATGGAGATCATATCCCCCCTTATGTATTATACATGGAGATCATATCCCCCCTTATGTATTATACATGGTGATCATATCCCCCCTTATGTATTATACATGGAGATCATATCCCCCCTTATGTATTATACATGGAGATCATATCCCCCTTATGTATTATACATGGAGATCATATCCCCCCTTATGTATTATACATGGAGATCATATCCCCCCTTATGTATTATACATGGAGATCATATCCCCCCGTATGTATTATACATGGAGATCATATCCCCCTTATGTATTATACATGGTGATCATATCCCCCTTATGTATTATACATGGTGATCATATCCCCCCTTATGTATTATACATGGAGATCTTATCCCCCTTATGTATTATACATGGAGATCATATCCCCCCCTTATGCATTATACATGGAGATCATATCTCCCCTTATGTATTATACATGGTGATCATATCCCCCTTATGTATTATACATGGAGATCATATTCCCCCTTATGTATTATACATGGTGATCATATCCCCCTTATGTATTAAACATGGAGATCATATCCCCCCTTATGTATTATACATGGAGATCATATCCCCCTTATGTATTATACATGGTGATCATATCCCCTCTTATGTATTATACATGGTGATCATATCCCCCCTTATGTATTATACATGGAGATCATATCCCCCCTTATGTATTATACATGGTGATCATATCCCCCCTTATGTATTATACATGGAGATCATATCCCCCTTATGCATTATACATGGAGATCATATCTCCCCTTATGTATTATACATGGTGATCATATCCCCCCTTATGTATTATACATGGAGATCATATCCCCCTTATGTATTATACATGGAGATCATATCCTCCCTTATGTATTATACATGGAGATCATATCCCCCTTATGTATTATACATGGTGATCATATCCCCCCTTATGTATTATACATGGAGATCATATCCCCCTTATGTATTATACATGGAGATCATATCCTCCCTTATGTATTATACATGGAGATCATATCCCCCCTTATGTATTATACATGGAGATCATATCCCCCTTATGTATTATACATGGAGATCATATCCCCCTTATGTATTATACATGGTGATCATATCCCCCTTAATCTCCTCTTCTCAAGAGAGAATAAATTCAGTTCCTCTAATCTTTCCTCATAGCTGAGCTCCTCCATGCCTCTTATCAGTTTGGTTGCCCTTCTCTGTATTTTCTCCAGTTCCCCAATGTTCTTTTTGTGAATTGGTGCCCAAAAGTAAACTGCATATTCCAGAATAATGAACAATTTCTGTCTCTTGGATAAGTAACCATAGACACCAATAATCCTTTAATCTATATGTAAGAGGGTGATTCATCCATTTGGCACATATGTAAGGCACACTCTACCAACTGACCACCATAAATAAGGGACATTCTGCTCACTGACATCCAAAAGTAAGGAGCATTCTTCTCACTATTCACCAATGTAAGGAACATTCTTCTCACTGATCATCAGTATAACGAGCATTCTTCCCACTGTCCACCAATGCAAGGATCTTTCTACCCACTGGCCACCAATGCAAGGATCTTTCCACCCACTGACCACCATTGTAAGGATTGCTCTACCTACTGACCTCCATTGTAAGCTGCATTCTGCCCAATGATCACCAATGTAGTGGGCATTCTACCCGATTACCCCGATTACCAATGTAAGGGGCATTCTACCCGATTACCACCAATGTAAGGGGCATTCTACCCGATTACCACCAATGTAAGGGGCATTCTACCCGATTACCACCAATGTAAGGGGCATTCTACCCATTACCACCAATTACCACCAATTAAGGGGGCATTCTACCCGATTACCACCAATGTAAGGGGCATTCTACCTGATTCTACCTGACCACTAAATTAAGGGGCATTCTGCCCACAAACCATCGGTGTAAGAAGATTGTTACCCACTGAACACCAATGTAAGGAGCATTCTTCCCAATAACCATCAATGTAAGAAGCATTTTTCTCACTGATCACCAATGTAAAGAGCATTCTTCCCACTGACCATCATGCTAATTTATCATAAGCTGTAGGCATTAG